AAACTATGCAGCATGTTGCATTGACGATAACATCAGAAAATTCAAGTCACCCGCCTGATCACCTGATAGATACCCACTTACAAGAGATAACCTAACCTCATGTCTAGCCGTATATTTATTAGTCCCCCTTCTACTGGGTGGCTTTTTCTCTCTTTCAACATTATCACTGAAGCAAAGTTGAAGATTTTATTCAGGACTAAGGCCCTTTCCAGGGCGCTTATACGCGTCCTAAGTATAGCTTGCCCTACTACCACTTCGGGACAACTTGTGGACTGGCTGAGAAAAAGTAGCAGAAGAAACTCAGTCAACTTTATTAAAAAGCAAATATTTATAACCCTTTTACGAACGAAATTGTTGCCACTTTTTGTTGAGAAATACACACTCGTGTCTTGAACGTTGAATGTGACGAAATCGCACGGGAGTTTGCTAATAAAAGGGAACTTAAATCATGTCGGTAGAATTCAAAGGAATTTCAACTTTGTGCTTGTTGTTTTACGATTGGATTTCCAACGGTGAAACGCTTAAGTTTCTTACACCTGTCTCTAGTAAAGGATCAAGAAACTTTAATCTGGCTCATGACTGCGGTTAATTTGAAAAGGTTCCATGTTGTTCCCACCGTCTCTTGTACGTAGGGCGTTGTTCGAGTAATTTAATTAGATCTTACGATAAAGCTGAAATGCCAGGTTGTATGAGACCCGTTTTAGTTTGACAGTAAACTTTTATTAGAATTGTGAAAAAGCTTTGGTTGCTTTACGGACTATTGTTTAATGTAACAACCTGTTGTAATCAGCAATATTTAACTCAATGTCAAAACGTTTATTGTCGGTGGATAAGGGCTCGTTCCCATGGCAATCCATTTTTGCGGGATTCAGTAACTCAGAATCCCGCGAAACTGAACTGTCGTATGATCACACGTGAGTTTGAAATTCGAACGGATCGATTTTTTGCGGGACACAAACGGGATGTTCATGTGAAAGTTAACATTAAAACACGTATACTATTAAACGGGATCCTGCAAAAAACGGGATGTCTCCATGGGAACAAGCCCTAATACGTGACAAAACTAAGATTCCATTTTGTCAATAAACACAAGCGCTCGGCTTTGAAATTAATTCCGTCTCACGCATGTTATTGTAGAACGAAATAGATTCACGCGCGTGTGGCCATTACAATAAACCATCGATCATGGCTGCGCTTGCGCCGCTCATCGCCGTTAGCAAAGCAAATCGAGAGGAGGATGCGGAAACAGATGGGAATGATCTGTGAGATAGCTTCAGCTTATCGGGGCGTGATTCCTTAGAAATAGCTATGGAATTCTAATGAATTAATTTCAATCCACTCCAAAATAAACATACCTGACACCTGCTTGAAACGCTTCAATTTTGTGTAGTAGTAAGTGTAATTGGGATATTTCCTGGGTAAAAAAGCAAGATTTTGAATTAGTTCGTCAATTAATTCATCAAAAAATACTCGACACTATTTTTCACTTTTGCAAACTAATGAAAATAGGCGCCAAATAGATAAAGGGCGCCAAATTTCAAAAGAAGAGGCCCGTGACGTCAAGGAGTGCTAAAAGTGTAGCACTCTGTGAAGTTACGCAAAACCTTCAACGCAACTTAGTTAGTTACAAGTAGTAGACCTAATAAAAGCGTGTTAAAAATATGTCTCCAATATTTTTTGATAGTAAGTATAATGGACTAAAAGTAATTTTTAAACTAGCCTATTTGATCTATATCTTTACGTTTATCATTAGGTACAAACATCTAAGTCTACTTTAAATACTATTAGCACTTCAAATTTTATTTTGAATTTTTTATTTTATATTTGAATTAACAATGCCGTTTATTTGATTTGTACCATCGTGTGTTTGATTGAATAACATTGTGTAAGCGATATTCTACAAAGGTTTCAACGTCCAGTTTAGGGATTCTAAATTCCTTATCTAATCTTACGTTTCACAGGAAGAGCTTGCTTACATTCGTTGGGTGTTCCACAGTATTGTGTTCAGCGAACGTGCGCAGGAGTGCTCAGTCCGTTAAACAATGGCGATGGGTAACTGCAGCGGTATTACAATAGGAATTCCTAACGAAAATTATAGTTTTCCACGCCTGTCTGGTCCCTTTTCATTATAATGCCGTGTGCAAATTGCTGATGGGCACACGTTAAATGGTAAGCTTGCGGTATTAATACAACGCAGTGTGTACAAACTTGCTATTTTATCTTACGTCTTTCGTGCTCGGAGAAGTCGTTAGCCATTTCTCGCGGTGCCAATGACTTTATGAGTTCCTGTTCTGCAAATACGGGTGCTAATAAAGGGAAAATTACGTACATAAACAAAAGATCTGAAATCATTTCTCAAATATTAATCGTCTAAATAGTTACTGGTTACAAACACATTATTTTAGATTGTCCTGCCTACCACAATCATACCACACAATTACAAACTAAGACCGCGGCTCAAACAAAATGTGCTCATTTATGCAGATTACTTCTTTAAGTCGCCTCCAGGCCCCATAAAGATATAACTGAGCGCTCCAGTGGTACTAGATTTGTGTTGCATTGCTCGTTAAATATGTAAAAACATGGTACGAAACTTTAATAAACCATAAAAATGACGTACGCAATCGCTTGCTAGTCCTGTACGTACATAGTAAAGAACTTTTACTGCTTGACACTCGCACAATAACTTAATAGCTGCTTCAATGCTTAATTTATAGCTGAGCTTAGTCCGCCTGGATTCTTTCACAGCTGCGACATGAAACATTAATGTTCGATCTTACAGAAATGTTTCTTGTTAGTTTTTAGTCGGGACATTCATAAAGTCTTATGACTCAGGCTTCATTTCATCGTTACATTGTATCTAATTAATGGATTCTGGCCTGTTTTATACCGCCCATAAATTCGATATGAATATTAGAAAACCGTATTAAAATTACAAATCTGCTGGTAGTACCCTACTTTCTACATTATGAGCAACCATTCTAATAGGATTAAGGCTTCCATCCAACTGTGTGTATGGTGTCCTAGTGATCGTAATGCTGTTAACGGCTTAGTTGGACTGTGATCAAGAAAAATATAAATCATAATTTTTTGCTTTTCTTTAGACTTGGTAAATGGCTTTTACCACATGGAAAGACTATAATGATTATTCTAATTGTATTCTGTTTTAACTTATAATGTCAAGAAAATTATTTCATTTGAGTTTTTATGGTCTTAAATTTAACCTATTTCATAGGATATTACTAAGCACCTTTTTAATTTAATTATGATGTGGCACAATTAGTTTTTATAGATGACTTATTAATGTCTTCTTTTACCATGGTGTGTGTTTGCATATTTTGTTTTCCATTTTGCGTTCATAGTAAAATATGTCTTTCTAATCTTACTGACGCTACGAGATATGCAGCTAGGCTCACAGCTAGATCCTTTGGTGTGTTGCTTATCCCGGCTTGACATATTAATTCAGCGTTCCAAACCCATTATTCAATATGTTCTAAGCTAATCGAGTAGATGTAATCTGATGATCCCCTAACTCCAACTCGTTAGACGTTTACAGCATCGTCACTTATCTTATTTATTGGCGACCCCTCCCACTCAGTGTTAGATGTTCCATCCCGAGGAGGTGGTTTCTTTTAACTAACGTTTTCCTATGATTTACTGGAATTATTCCAGATAATGTCGATGGTTAATTCACTCGGACTAGTTTTTGCCATGAGTTACGCGGACAACTCTTAACCGGTCTGAGGCGTGTACACGGTCTATAGGAAAATAAACTAGATAAGAGACGAACGTAAACGGGATTTAATTTAATCTTCCGTGTGGAGAAAATTTCAATTTAAAGCAGCCGTAATGTCCTTTCGCAGTGAGGCCATTTAGGTAATATATCTTTAAGTTTTTAAAGACCTAGGTGGTCTATGTGGTTAATGAAGCGCACGATCAGTTAAATTGCCGTAAAGCTATTAAATACCAGTCTATTAACATGATAATAAACCCATTGATGTAATATTGATGACTATCAGTGCCATCCATTTTAATAATTGTCCTTGATGACAGTTCGTTCGCATCATTAAATGACAAAATCATACAAGTGTGTCTGAGAAAAAATAAACCGATGTACCACCTACGAACATATAATAGTCCCACCAACATGCCTGCATTGCATTAGCCCTTCTTGTAATATCAAAATCACTCAATAAACTTCTATATTTAGCACTCGGCTACTTAAATGTCTTTCCTAATTAGCTTGTGGTCATTAGTTTCTAGTTTTGTTCAACATTTGTCTCTTAATGGGATTTATTTTAATTCTAATTCGATTAGGTTTGCAAGAATAGAATCGTCAATGTCCAATTCAATGTCATTAGAATGTTTTTGTGCGAATCGTATTATCTGCACTTTTATTCGTAGTGTATAATTCCGCCATCACATTCGTATTTGTCAGCGATTTCCTGTCGTTAGCAGGCATAGATTTTGTGCGATTACCTGTGTATCCTAGTATAAAATAGTGTAACTAATGATACAAAGGGAGGTGGAATTTTAAACAGTTACTGAATAGTATAAGTTGGATTTTTTTTTCAATGGTGAGTGATGAGTGAGTTATTTTAGAAAAGTAAATGGAAATTTCGGCCGGAAAATTTCACGCTATTTTTTTGCCCGATTAGGACTACGCAGACCATATTCATAAGGATCATACTTAAATGAATTATTTCAACGTTTTCATTTAATTTCCACGCTAACGAAGGCGCGTCAGGAGGATACGCATCTAAGTTCGCAGATACTAACTAACCTGTCTCTTATCCTGCAGTACTTCCTCTTCCTATCAATTTGCTGTCAGCAGTTTTTTAATCTCACGCAATGTGTGAACATCGTGTTTAAGCGCTAACTCGATTCTGGGTTCTAAATCGATTCTAGGGAGTTCAACTCTCGAGTCGTGGGAGATATATCGATATACGTGGTTGATTTTGTCGATATATTTATTTATGTAAATGTTTGTATTGTTACAGTGAGATGGCGCGGTGGAGCGCGCTGGTGCAGCATGGGCAAACAATCTGGTTTCTGTTCTGCATCCTACACACAGTATGGGCGACACCTGGTGAGTCAATACAGCATTTGTGTACTATCTAGGTATTTAATGTATTCACTTGTTGGATTCGACTGCATTAGATGAGATACGAACCCTTCCTCCACTATACGTCACTAATTTACACTGATGTAACAAAGATGGCTAAGGCCCGGCCCCCACCAAAGCGGAGAAGAGAGATGTGTTTGATGAATAACCAATCAGCTTCAGATCAGAATTCTAATTGGATATTCAAACTCTCCTCTTTCCCTTCGCTTTAGTGGAAACCGGGCCTTACAGAGTAAAAATCACTAAAATGCTCAATAAGCAACTTCTTGTTAGTTGAGTAAACGCCCTGAAAAGTATACATTGTGCTGCTAGATCGTAGTTGACCTAAGGCAGTCAATTAGGTGATAATTTAGCATCATAAAAATCATAACTATAAATTAATGTGTTTTCTATTAAAACAGGAATTACCCAATGACTTGCCCACCCACGACACCAGTATTGATCTCTTGGTATAATAGTTAAATAGTTGAACCATTCCAGTTTCAATGGACTCGTTAAAATTTAGTATGCGCTACTCTTGCTTTTCCATATTCAGTTACTTTACACTGACAAAATGTAGATTAAATGGCGAGTACACTATGCGGGAAATTGTTCGAGACGTATAGTGTAAACATGCACTTAGGTTTGTTTAGCCATTCGTCGCCCATACTTCGGTGTGCTTTGCGCTTCGTCTCGGTCAATTTCCTGCATAGTATACTTGCGCCAAAACACCTGAGTCTTCCAGTGACTTGGCCCACTTCTTTTCACATCTTGGTCTACGGGTAAAGTCGCTGAATTTGAATTTTCAAATACTTTTTCTTCCAGCAATTGGGCCCACCTTCAATGTTTTCTTTAAATTAAACACCAAAGCAACAAAAATCAACTTTAGAATCTTAGAGTGGGCCCAGTTGCTGGAACAAAAGTATTTCAAAATTCAATCCAGTGAATGAGGGTTTTCGCGTATGAAAGATCCGCTAGATGGCGGGACGTGGATGTGGGGTCTGATTGCTGTGTGATTGGTAGATTTTGACATATCTGTCAATGTCATGTCAAAAATAAACATACATGCAGCATTTGGACCTTGCGTCTACGTATTGCCATCTGGCGGATTTTTCATTCGCGAAAACCCTTATTGGCCCGTTGACCAAAATAAAAGTGGGCCAAGTCACTGGAAGACTCGAACACCTTACGCAAAATCCTGTGGGCACGAGTTATTTTCTAATAGAAATTGGACCATTGGATTGCGGACAATAATGACGTGTCTCATTCATTTCCATTCAATGGTAATGTTTGAGAATTGCTCGGTGTATAATAGTTTGTTTGTTATGAACAAACATAACAACGCACGGTTCCGTTTGACTAAATTATGATGATGTCAGTGAAAGTTTCGATTGTGATCTTCGGATTGATCGTTTAATAAGATGAATTGTAACTTTGATTACAATCGGATGTTATGTTTTTATTATGTTTGTCTTCTCGTAGTGAGTGCACTTTTTCAATGTTTGATTTATTTGGCAATATCACTAAATTGTGAATGAATTTCTTCGCGCAATTTCTGATGACCAAAATTGAGTTTCCATATCCCTAATTTTCACTCTCCCTTTTTCACTCAATAGAGTCGAAAAATGTTTTTTCTCCTAAAACTCATCTCTACGCTATGCTATGCCATGTCCACTGCTGGATAAAGGCATCCCCCAACTTCAATACAACAAAGTTTTGGTCGTGTTTGTATTAGTATGGAATGGATAGCCATAAACTCTTTGGTCACTTTTAAGGTAGTAATCCAACAGAAATGCCACTGTCAATCTCGTGTGGTCGCCCACTTATACTGAACCTAGTATGCCGGGCTACATTTTAATGTTAACAGAAAATATCGAAGTGATAAATATCGCAATGAAACGTAAAGTTATGTATCCACTCTATCTAACATGTAAGCAGACATTTAAAGGCAGTAACTTACGCAGCTAATTTACACTAATTACGGAACTCCACTAATGTTAAAATGTGCACAAAGTATTCAATATATCTGTCAAAACAACCAAGAACTTACTTTCCAATTGAAACAGTTCGTATATGGTTCCATGCAGTAACCTGCTCTACCTTTTTGGTTAGAACTAAAATATGATGCGATTATTGAGTACAAGTGTACTAATTAACAGTTCTATAAGGCAGGACCTTATACTTTATGACCGCTACGGAAACAAATGTGTTCGTAATTGAATGATTCTCAGGCACTCCCTAGATTGGAAAAGACATTTACGGCTTCGGCTTACTATCTAAAACCTATACCGTATAAACTACCTAATGAACAAACATTGGTCTTGAGTCCACGGGGTTTTTAACTATCTCAACGTATGTGCGTGCTCATATTATTATCATAGTGAACAGAACATCTAAGTAAAAAAGTCAAACTATTCTCAAGTGATGCTTCCTCATAAAATCCTGTGACAGTTAGATTTTATTTAAATAAGATTGTCTATCTATGTATTCTGTTATCTTTAAATGTGCAAGATAATTTTATAGAAAAGAACCTAAATGTTTTGAAAATACGTTTTTTGTATCTTTTAGTTTCTTTGCGATTTTAACTGAATAATATTATTAGAAAACTGTCACACGGTAAATCTCATTTCACACACTACACTGGGAATAGTGTCTTTATTTACAATTTGATATTTATTACAGGTATTAGACATAAAAACCGGCTAGATAAAAAGCTTTAGATAACCATTTGTAATTTTATTACTTGCATTGGACTCCACATAGATTTCAGATTATAAATTTTATGTAGGGTCGGGTAATATCTTGTCTAGTGATTGCTTTAATACCAATAGGTACTCGTAGTAACTAATGAACTAAAAACGAATCATGTTGATGGACATTAAAAGTTTATTGCATTTCATTCTAAATTATATGATATCCATATTTCTTCTTCCGCAAGTAAAACGTAAGTCATCAGGTGAGATACAGGCCAAGAGCTTCCTCGTTGTGGAAAAAAAAATCAACTGTTTTGATTTAGTCTTCCGAAAGGACATTCGACAGCATATCAAGCGTTACAATTGCACTGCAAAAGTAGCCTTATTTAGTGGATTATAGTGGTGATTTCAGTATGTACGAGTACCTACCTAACTCTCACTACAGACACTAAGGTTGTGTGCATAATTTTGATTTTTGAACAAGAACGGCTAATATTGAAAGAAAGAAACATTTATTACAATGGACATCACACAAATACAGGCCACATGCCACATGACAGTGGCACATAAAATAATGGAAGAAGACTATTGCTCCTTGAAATCTATGTAGGATCAAGTACATTTTAATACATTCTCTTCACTTTCTTAAAATAATTTATATCCTATCTGTAACACAGAAACCACAAACATCAACTATGAAACCGGTTATTGGTTGTAATAATATAAATCTAGTAAATCTAATCTACTTAGATTTAGCAGGTTGTTGCAGGAAAATGCTAACTTGCGTGTTCACTTACTGTTAAATAATATTGATTATAGATAAACCACGAGATCTATGAGTTAATGCACCCATTAAGTTAATGACTATATTGAGAATATTTACTATTGCTAATATTACGATAGCGTAGAAAGGCACTAGATGATAATCATAGATAGAGACTCTATCTATTCCGAGATGAACGAACGGTTTATGTATGTCTCTTTCCATTCTAACGCCCTTATAAGGGACAGAAATAAAGCTGTCGTTTTCATTTTTAGTTAAATTTTGTGTCTTCTTCTTTTAGAATTATGAAGATTTTGAAATTATTTCTGTTTTCAGAACGTAACATAATAATAATAATATCATCAAACTAACTCCACAGCATAATTTTGCATCACCAATAGGTGTTTCACCACCAAGGTGGGCCGACGACCTGATAAAGGTAGCAGGAAGGCGCTGAATGCAGGCCGCTACCAACCGTGCGATTTGGAAGTCATTGGGGGAGGCCTATGTTCAGCAGTGGACGTCCTGTGGCTGAAATTATGATGATGATGATGAATAGGTGCTTCGTTGACTATTACAGCCGATAACGTTATACCATACGAAATCACCCTTGTTACCTTATTTGGTTAGTCTATCTACCTGCTATTTGGTTAGTCATTAGCACATTTTAGTATCTCATAAATAAGCGTTAGAATTTGCTCTACATCCGCGACTCACGAATTCATTTATCAGGGAAACGATTCTATTCATACGTCTCCATGTAATGCTTGTATTGAGGGTAGTCTGACCAAATCGGCGATTCTGGTTGCATATGCTAATTTGCGTAAACGTAGAAACTTCCTCGAGTTAAATTGCTTGCGCCTCATTTTCAGCTCAGTTTGCTGTCTTACCAAAATGGCGGACTTGTGGATTCAGGCCTCCGTTACAATGTTAAACTTACTGCTCATAACATTCTTACTACTCTATGTACACTTACCTATCTACTTTTTATTGCAATTTTTAATGCACAAAAGCAACAGTATGAAAGTCAACCTTAGGCTATAGAAAAAATTGGCTCTAAATGGCTCTCTAGACAGTTTCTTTTACCAAAACAATTTTCCAAATGTTTGTCGCAATTGAAGATTGAAGATTTTTCTGTATGAATATCATCATCATATTAGCAATCTCAAAGGGTCATATTACTGTGTGGTTAAAGTAAAGTTTAACCTTAAAATCTAGTAGATTGATAGTTAAAATCCCGTTAGCTGTACAGACAGGCACAATCAATCTGTAACCAGTGGAACAAGATCTAAACCTTTCCACGGGTGAACGTTTATCAACTTATCTGGTATTTTATCTGCAGGTTACGATTGCTGATCAGATTATTCATCTAGTCTTTCCCAATTGCGCATAATGATTTCATTGTGGACTCGTAAGGTAAACAATTAACGAGCCAAGATGAGGAAATACACTGAAGTGTTAATTAGGGACACAGCCTAACGAAGCCCTAGCGAAATTTCGCTGTACACCTGCCGATTCTGTTATTTATGACCATTTGTTAGTACACGATCCTATTCCGTTCCCGCCAGAGCTTCCGTGGTTGCATTCGTTACAAATGGACTCTTGCTTCTACAATTTAATGTTAGTTTTTATGGCTTCCTGCACAGAGTCAATATCTCTATGTTCGACTAACGCGACTGTCACGTTTGAACGATTATTTGAGTTGGTGGTTTATGACGGAGAGATGGCTTTTTCATTTTACATGACAGGACATGGTCGGACAATTAACATGTAACTTTCTGTTTGAAGACGCCAGCTTTGAACAAGTTGAATTATTTGTTTAAAATGTTTCCACCAACTTGAAGTACATAAAGATAGCAGGAAGGCGCTGGATGCAGGCCGCTACCAACTGCATCATTATGGAAATCATTGGGGGTGGCTTAAATTATTCTCAGCAGTGGATGTCTTATGGCTGAAATGATGATGACGATGAACTTGAAGTACTTGCACGAGTGTTTAGGTTGTTTATTGGTTTATATTATAGATAATGACAGTAACTTATGTCTGTTTCAGGTCCATGTGAAGTGGAAACAGGCCAGTCCAGTATCATAGTAGACATAGAAGAAAGCAGAGGAAATCGTAAGTACATTTTACTTGTAAATAAAACAGAGCTTTAAACTTGAAAGTGAGCTTAATGAGTTTAGTCAATGACGATTTCACTGTGGTAAATAGCGACAGTTACAACTGTTTTTATTACAAACGGTTTACCGTTATTGGTACCTTAACTAAGTCCGAAGTAAAAGGGCTTGTCAACATCGTAATGTCTCGCAGAATTTTGCTAATAATCGCAGTGACAGTGCTATTATGTGCAGTAGTAACAAACGGTTAGTATTGGCAGACAGCTTGACAACCAGATGATTGGTTGCCCCAGGGTTCATTAATTAGAAGTATGTGCTAGCTCGGGGCCAGCACTTGCTTGGCTCTGGTAATTGGAGTGTCACTGTTCCTTTAGATTTATCTCGTTTTATATCCATTGATAGAACTGTTATTGGACGTGCTATTAAGCTTCCTCGCTTGCCGTTTGATTGGTGGACTATTATTGCGGACTCTAAGGGTCTTACTAGTTGACATAATTAAATGAGTTGCCCTAAGGTCCGCGTTCTAACGAAGCAGATTGTTCCTTTGGATTGGATGTGTGCTTTAAGATAGATGATAGATATATGGTATAGTTTGTACATTTTGTAAAGTACATATAAAACGTTTCATGTTTTATGCACAAACTGAATAGAATACATACAATTAACATGTAACTTTCTATTGGAGTTGATATGTATCGATATGGTTTAATTGGCGAGGTGTTATAATGCTTTCAATGTTAAGTTTCAAAATGTATTAGATTACTAATCGTTAGGAAAGATTTTCATTTTAGTTTTTCAAAATATCCGCAGAGTGGTGCTAATTCCAATCCATAGGTATTTTGACTATATATAAATCTCAAATCTTATCAAAAGTTTTCAAATGTTTATATGCATACGACCATGGGCGTATAATAAATCAATAGTACCTAAGCATGATGAGTCCCTAGCTACTTTATACTGGTTCAATAGTCAGCACAATGGCTTAATACTGTCTAGGCACTTCCCGCCGTAAATTCTTACATCATCCTTAACATCTTCTTCAATTTTGCAGAAGTAAACCAAAGCACAGTACCAGCAGAGCTGCCGATCGTCGGCGAGCCAGATGTGGACGTGGTGTTGTCCACCGTCTTTCCAAAAGGCCCGACGCTGTTCCAGCTGGATGGGAAGCGGTTACAGCTGCTCCAGCCCTTGGATAGAGACGCTGATAACCTTTCGCATATGGTCTTCCAGGTTAGTATCAATTTTTAATTAATTTTAAACTTTCGCGTTGCATAATTGCATTTAATTTAAATAGGTTTTAAACGCGTGGATTGGTAATATTGAAATATTATCTGCATTTGCCTGACGTTTCGACCGGGTTGCACCGGCCGTGGTCACAGGCTGACTGGGTCTGGAGCGTATCAATTTACAGGTGAGTGAAATAATCACTGAGGCGTCAATGTAGTTGTTGGGTGATTTTACAACAAAAGTTACTGTCAACGAATTCAATGACGACCCAATAGCGAAAGAGCACGGTAGTAAATGAACTTTAATCTGTCCAAAAGTATGCCCGTTTTCACGATATATCCCTAATTTTTAAGTGACCCCTATGGTAACACAACAGAAATTTTGTTTTCATAGGGGTCACTTAAAAATAAGGTATGATGGTGAAAACGGGCATTAAGCACACGGATAGCGGAAGCGACTTTACTGTGCAAAGATGTCGCGATGAAAGAGCAGAAGTAATGCGCAAACGGTTTTCAAGAAAATGTACGATTGCATTACATAATCCAACATGGCTGGTTTTTGTGCATATATTGAGGAGATAAAGAGAGATCTCGTTAGCACAGGTGACTAAACACGTTTGTTTAGTTACACGAATGATAAAATATGTATTGATTACATATTCCCTACAAGGTGAACTCTAATTTGTTCGTGTCAAACGTTAATTGTGATTGGAACCGATTCAATGACATTAAGTTGGAATGTTAATTACAATTGCTGTTTTATTTTTTGCATTGAAACTTAGAAAATTGACCCAGACAAGATTGCTTCATGTCACAAAACTATTGCTTTTTAATCTTTTTGCGGGTTCGGAACCAACAAAAGTAAATACGATGCTAATCTCAAGATCATTGCAAAAAGTAAAAAAGTAAAACTCGGTAGTGAATTTAAATATTTTTGTCCAATTGATTCTAAATAAATCTTTTGTGTAGTTTAGTTTAACATAACTCTCAAATGTTTTGAAAGCTAGGTAGGTACCTACTTGCCTACTTAACTTCTTGTATGTAATCTGATCTCAAAAAGGAATGTTTTATTGCATGTTCTTCATTCAATTTTCCTGATCTTCTTAACTGCCACTTATTTAATTTAACATTCCGTTTCCCTTTCAAATAAGGCTTGAAATACAAAACGTCGCGATAAAATCACAGCTATTTTCTTTTATCATCATAGCTCTTATCATACTGATATCACAACCGCAATTAGATACGCAAATTGGGCTGTCATCTTGTAATCGTAGATCACTTTTCTGCTCTTCTTTTTCTATGCTTCGGGCGTTGGCGATGCTACTACACATACTCGTACTGGTGGCGTCTAGAACCAACAAACTAACAAATTGAGAATTTGTATATTTTATATGGTGAGATGTAGGCAAATAAATAAATAGGCAAGTTGTTCGGAGCAAAAATTTTATCACTTTCCATCCATGTAAGCAAAAAGCGCATGTAAATAGGTAATGACAACTTTATATCGCTCTCTTGAAACTATATGAGAATTAGTTAGTTGACCACAGCCTAGCGATAAATCTGCTCCGTTCTGTCGCTTGTAATCGACTAAATTAGGTTGTGATAGGAATCACAGCATTTCGTGAGCAATATTTTATTTCAGTGCACTTTATGGCAGTCTATCTAGTGCCGTGTAAATGTTAAATTACCTACTTAATAATTATGTCTGTAAATAATTTCCGCGTATCGCAACATACAACACCAGTGTTTAAAATATTCATAAAAATGTCTCAAATGTGTATGATTAGAATTTAAACCTATCATCTGACCAACATAAATCGTTCGTATGCGCTCAACCAACACGCCTCGAGGTGAATCTTCGTACTATGTTAATTGAACCTGATGTGGTTGTGCCAATTAATAGTATAGCCCGCGGCTGTCGTCAGCCATCTTGCTTTCGCTGGTAAAGGATGGATGCGATAAGAAAATCGTCGGAATTAAAATTATCGAGATTTTGAATTGGAGGAATCTCTGCGATCAGAAATGAGAAATGATGAGCAAACTGAAGACGGGGCACATTTAGAATTCTTTAAAAACATGGATTTGTAATACTTTAATTTGACTCTAAATGTAATAAGTAGACAATTTTAAGAAATAAGCTCCTAATTTGGTGAATAATAAATAATGCTTCTTACTTAATTGCTATGTTCATCACTTTTTGTCAATTTGATTATGACCAAGTAGGTAAGCTCAGTAGGTCATCAACTTATTGTTGAGAAAGTTGAATGAAAATGAAGTTGATTGTTGAAACTATGAAACCACAAAATGAACTAAACTCACGACTTTGTTTGTCTTTCGCCTCCTGCCTTTTGTTTACGTTCACCCTTTCATTAGAATAATAGTTTCGTTTTTACATTTAGTAATCCATAGAATTCCAAGTATCATCTAATAGTCTAGCTAGTCTACAGAGGCAGGAAGTTTTTCCTATGTAGGTATTTGGATTTGATTATCAATTTACCTAGCTCTTCAATGAGCTGCACTTTAATATAAATAAATATCTATCTATTAGTACAACTATTATTTACAGTTATTATATGCTCCAGAAAACCAAGACAAGGAACTTAATAGTAACTTTACTCCTGTTTTCTTGCCGCGGGCATCTCCTAGACTCACTCGCAAGCCTATTTTAAAAAGCCATTTAATTCACCACGCTTATATTATACACCACAAGGTTTAATAGATTAATAGAAAAGCTGTATTATTCGCTCTATTTTTCCTGCTGATTTTACATAAGTGGAGAAACTGTGTAATTGGTTAGTTGACACCATTATCCAATAATTTCAAGACACATCTGAAAAACATTTCAATCTGGCCCTGAAAATAGATTCTGTTTTCCATTGAACTCAATAAACAGTCACTCAATTGAATTCGCGTCCTGCTGGGCTAGGATGCGCGCCATTATAAAATCTTATCGATGATTTTAGACGACAAATGTATACGTTTATCGCGTAAAATCTATAAAATGGCGCGATAAAAGCTTATCGAGGCGCGCATCGTAGGCCTAGTCCTCGTTGCCTTATAAAATCCATGGTAGAGTTGTGTTTTAACTGCACGAAAAGTAATTGAATTGACTAGGGATCACTTACTACCCTAATATGTAGCGTAAACTCTATCTATGTAGATCTCTACTTTGCTTTTCCAAACAAATAATATAAATTCTGTCTTATCTCTCCACAGCTCGTGTGCCAAGTGAAAGCTACTAAGAAAAGGCGGACAATACCGGTGATCGTCAGGGTGTCAGACATCAACGACAATGCGCCGGTCTTCCAGGGGCTCCCGTATGAAACTAGTATATCTGAGGTGAGAAAAATATACAGTTCTATATGATAATTAGAATTTAGAAGTCTTTAAGAATACCTTCAAGCTGCGTTTTCCGTTCTACCCACGAGGTGGACCGACGACATCATAAAGGTAGCAGGAAAGCGCTGGACGCAGGCAGCGACCAACCGGGTAACATGGAAAGCATTGAGGGAGGCCTATGTTCAGCAGTGGACGTCCTATGGCTGAGATGATGATGAAGACTTCAAGCTGGTGAAGGTCGCGGGAGGTGCCTGGATGCGGGCGGCGCAGGACCGGGCGTTGTGGAAATCCTTGGAGGCCTTTTTCCAACAGTTCACGTCATTTGGCTGAAACGAAGACTTCAATAGACACAGCTACTTATCAACGATCAAACTCTTCTCTCAGCTTGTGAAAGAATTCGATAATTTTGCAGATTCTTGAACAGATCATATTATTATGAAATTATTATTGCATCTACAGTTTTCATTAATGTGGGAGTAATTTTTTTGTAGGATCTCAACATTATTATTTTTTCCCAAAGAAAATCTACAGGGTGTTAGGTAAATGGGTATATGAGCCGACACTAGCCCATGTTAACATGGTCATATAAATGGTATGGTGAAGTCAGAAATTTGATATCATTATTTTATTTTTTTTAATTTTCATACAAAATAAATTTTATAAAATCCGATTTGTATGAAAATTAAAATAATTAAAATGAAGATATCAATTTTCTGACTTCGCCATACCATTTACATGACCATGTTAACATGGGCTAGTGTCGGCTCATATACCCATTTACCTAACACCCTGTATATGACTATTTGGGTTTCATTTATTGCCGTGATTCCATAGCCTTTATGCCTGTTAATAATAGAATCGGAAGAGCTAAAATAGCTTAGTTCTTGGTCTGCAACAGATAATACTATACAGCAATAAAGTAGGCTGTCATATACCTATCTACGTATCTCTTTAACGTATCCCAACTTCATCTTTCCAGCTGGTACCGATCGGCACAACGATATTCGACGGCATTCGAGCGCTCGACATCGATGCTGGAGTCAACGGTCTCTCAGAGTACTTCATCATACCAGGAGACAACAAAACCCTGGAGACCACGAACGCAGCGGACGGCTACGGGTACTTTGCGATACCGATACCCCATCAGGGACAAGTGACAGTCAACAGAACCTTGGATTACGAACGCACGCAGCAGTATCTAGTCACTATTGTTGCTTCTGTAAGTATTTTTAGGTATTTAACATTACGTGAAGTCACGACAAGTTTGCGAACTTACAGTGACTATGTTTTGTAACGTTCAGAAATAATAATTAAAGTATGTAATTTATTTAGATTACAAGATCACGACACGGCAACCCAACACAACAGAATACTTTGGAACTGTCTCAGTGGTCTTACTACAATATCACATGACAAATAGAGATATTATGTTCTTATTACATACCTTATTAGAAAGTGCATTACATTTTGAGTGCTGTTTAGGCTCACTACCAGTTCAGTTTCTAGCTACGTCTGGGCAGCATCGAGTGAACTAGAATTCGTACTTTGATTCTACTCACTTACGAGTATATTCCATGTGTATTACAAAATTTTTTAATGTACTCATATTAATTTTGTTTCCAGGATCGTGCGCGCGACACCAAGAGAAGACTGTCAAGTACCACCACGTTAACTGTCAATATACAAGATGATGATGACCAGGATCCGTCTTTCATTTACAAGGGATGCACGCTGCACGAGGGAGCTTGCTTCAACCCAGAATATTCTAGTTATGTAAGTAACTATATTACTATCCTTAAAGAAACAGTTAGGATTTTTAATAACAAGAAAACTCTAAAAACTGAACTACTCCAGTTATTTATACAGTTAATTTACAGTTAATTTATACTTTTATTAAATACTTTTTTGATATCTGCAATGAAGACCCCGCACAAAAAAAAAAACAAAAACAAAAGAACACAGTGCTTACCATGAGTTTACGTTAGGTGTGTTCGCTAGCGAGTACCTAGCTACGTCAAAAAAATCTATGAAGATTCTATTTATTGAAAGTAGCCGCCAGAGGCGCTACACAATATGTCATACATTTTAATGTCATTTTTTACGCAGTCGCTAGCGAGTTCACCTAACGTAAACTCATGGTAAGCACACAGAATGTATTTAGTAAGCCGTTGCCGTCTCTGTTTGTTCGTTCTTATTTTGTCTGTCTAAAAAAATTACTATGTAATTATTTTTGAAACTTAAACTCTTTGTAAAAGTGCATGCGTTTTTAATAAGCATTATAACCAACTGTGTATGCGAAAAAAACCTCAGTTAAAAATAAATATGTATCTGTCTGTAAGCCGTGTGGTGACGGCAGAGTAGAATACATTTGTCACTAACCCCTACTCTTCCCGCGGGTGTCGTAAGAGGCGACTTAGGGACTACACATCAAACAGAGAATGGGCAGCAGCGCTCTCTGAAAAACATCAATCTTTTAAACTGCGATCTCCAACCCGCCTGCCAAGCGTGGAGATTATGGCAAAACCCTCCACTATAGTGGAGGAGGCTCATAGTCCAGCAGTGGACTGTAAAGGGCTGTTGATGATGATGATGTATCTGTCATTTCTAAAAATATGCACGTCTATATTTCCAGGTAAACAGCGGCGTCCTAGCCGGCATTCTCACCATCGAACCTGAGAAAATCCAAGCTGTCGATATGGATACCCTAGACGCCAAGATCCGCTACACCATCGAGAGTGGAGAACCTGACTCCTGGGCCACATACTTCTCTATAGATCCCAATAGTGGGGCCGTGAGGCAGCTGATGCCTGTTGATACTAGCATTGCGAAGAAGTTCCAGCTTGTTATTAAGGTAAATAAATAATCGATCTTTGTTTGTGGTCGTAAAATACTAGAGTTGAGGTTGTGGTCTTCGCTTTTAAGACCAACGATGGAAGACTAGGGAAAAATAGGCATATTGTAACCACCCACAGCCCAAAATGAAATTGTATATCCTGTTTGCTGTTTAATTCAAGCGAAAATTCACGTTATTAATTGTGCGATGAAGTCGCTTATGCATTGTACTCGTATAACATAAGAAAGAAACTTAGCATTTCGTTCGAACTTGAAACTTTACAATGTCACAACATTCTCAGACGCTTTGCCAGAATCTTGACTGTCTCTCTAATGAATGATTTAGATGCTGCTAAAATTTTGAATGCAACAGCTATATTTAGTTCACTTTATGTACCAAAACTATAATATGACAGTGAAGAAAAAGTAAACATTAATGAACACCGAATATAACTTAACCCTTCTTCCACCATCCAGGCTGAAGAAGTGACAGAAGCCAAGCGATTCACCACAGCAAAGCTGACCATAACAGTTCGGCCGGTCGACGCTAGTCCACCGGTGGTAGAAGCATCGTCGGACGAAGGGCAGGTTGAAGAGAACTCGCCTAAAGGCACTAGGGTGCTGGATGCGAGTGGAATGCCGATCAAGATGAGCGTTTCGGATCCTGATTTGGTAAGTTTGATTCATTTTTGTGAATCAATCTATGAGGCCTAAAATAGTGGTCGTTTAATTCATCAACCAACTGCTGGATAAAGGCCTCTTAAAGATTTCCATAATGACCGGGCCTGCGCTGCCTGCATTCAGGTGATTCCCGCGACCTTTACTAGATCGTCGGTCCACTGAGTGCGATATGGTAGTAGTTTCAGAGATTTTATAAATATTTGAAGTAGTAGTAGTAACAGTAAAAGTGTGCCTATACTTTACATAAAAAAATGGATGATGATTTTATACTTGCAATATGATTAAGTCATTGTTGTAATTTATTTTCTTGCAGGGTCCCGGCGATCCCGTGCCGATTTACACGTTCGAGTTGACAACAAACTTCTTCGACATCGACAAAGATGGCTTCCTGGTAGTAGCTGAAGAGAACCTCGACCGCGATCAGCCTAACAACGGCAAATTCAGATTTCAGGTAAGCAACTTCCATTATAATTATTATGATCTGGATCTGCATATGACTGGAGTTTAACACAAAGACACATAAAAAAAGACAATATTTTGTAAGATATTTTTTGTTATAAGACCAATTTCATGATTTTTGATAATAAATACTCAATGAAAATATCAAAACGTGACCTAACTTTTGAAGAATACAATTTTTACTCACTGTCACATTTCATTGAAATAATATAACTTTACAAAAACGACTGCCCCAGCTGGTCATATCTCTAGCATTATTATGTAGTATTGTAAATAAACAATTAACTCATCAATCCTTAGCGGTCGCATATGACCGCGTAACAATTGATTACTTGTCTATTGTGTCTCCATTCACAGATCTTGAAGGACTAATGCCCATTTTCACCATGAATCCCTAATTTTTAAGTGATCCTATGGTAACACATAACAGGAATTCTGTTTTCAAAAGGATCACTTAAAAATTAGGGATTGATGGTGAAAACGGGCATAAAATTGTAATATTTGTAATTATATTTTCCAGGTTGTCGCAAGAGAAGCGAACGGAGGCGCTGCGTCCGCTCCGCTTTCTTTGGCGGTACAGTTGCTGGATGTAAACGACAACGCGCCTGTTATACCTAAGACGCAACCAATCATAGTGCCGGCGAGCTTAGAACCCACTGCAGTACATAAGGTAAATAATCGTAGTTTCAATCTAAGCATGTCCATTGTCCACTGCTGGACAAAGTCCTCAAGGATTCTGCGCTACCCACATTCAGGTGCTTCCCGAGATCTTCACCAGATCGTAGTTCCACCGTGTGCGACGCCTAGGTACTACAGAGTAGATCCTTGGTCGCCATTCGAGAACTTTTTTTACCCCACGCCTAGGTCCTACTACAAAGTACATCCTTGGTCGCCACTCGAGAACTTTTCTACCCCAACGGCTATCAGTTCTACGAACTATGTGCCCCGCTCACTGCCTCTTAAGCTTGGCGATTAAGGTGAACAAATAACTCATAATTTATTTTTATGATCTAACATTGAAAGGGAGGACTTAAGTTTTTTTTGTTGTATGATTTGCGTCGATAGATTTTCGCGGTCTCATTTTTCAAAATCTTTGCTTCCTTAATAGTACATTTAGGTGTTACATTATAGTTGTAGATCATTAAGGACCCTGTTGGTCGCTGCAAACTAAAAATCTATAGGAGAGAAGGCTTCTTTTTATAGATAGAAAGTTTTTATTGTGAATAATAGGTGAAATGATGACATATTACAGTTATTTTTTAAGTTTATTCATAACACAGACATGTCGAAACAGTACATTATAACCATCGCCTTGTACTGTCTCCTTTGTACGTTAAGTTACAAGAGTCTTACTTTAAATAGTCAAATGAATATTAAATATTAACACCTTAAATTTCCATTTTAGGTGGAAGCATACGACATCGACGAGGGTGAGAACGCACGTATATCGTACAGCATCTATCACGTGTCTAACAATGGAGGAAACAAGTTCACTATTGACCCTAACACTGGTGTTATATGTAAGTTGCACTCTAACAGCACTTGTAGTTTGTATTGTTTTATTATTGATAAATGTAGAGGAGACCGAGGTGAATTGTAACAGAACAGTTGTGACATTGTTATTTGGAACTTATTAAAAAAAGTTTTTAAGTATGTTTATAATCGTTATCTAGTACCCATAGTACAAGCTTTGTATAGTTTTGGCCTAGAAGCGTAGTGTAAAATGTCCAAGGCTTATTTATTTATTTATTAACTACTAGCGCGCTCGTAACAGTGTGCGTTTTTTAGTTCAAGTCTTGAGCTAACAAATAGCTCGCTGATTTAATAGGTTTCCATAAATCGACAATGTCACAACTCTCCTCTGTTACAATTCTCCTTAATCTCCCCCTACTATAGATTTTTTTAGCTATTACATTTTCTCCGCGGCTTCGCCCGCTATAAATCAGTCAAAATGGAGGCTAGATTGTCGACCACAATTTCAGATTATTTTCAAGAACAAAAATGAAATTGTCTTTTATGCTACATTATAAAAAAAAAAAAATTACAGCAGATGTGTGCAGTATTTGAAATGTGATTTGATAAGTATTTGTAGTTTGATTGTGTGTGTGTGACATTTTTGAGTTTTGCACTGTGTGTGTAGTTTTGTTTTTAATGCACTGTTTGAATATCACAAACTTTTTGTCATCTTTATTCTTCTTTATGGTGTTTCCTTGTGATATCATCCACTTGTTATTTACTAAAATTTCCACAAAATACCTAACTATGTTTCATAAAAAAAAATCTAAAATTAACCCATTATTTCCCACAGCGAGCACTGGTCGCCTACAAGCTGGCGAGCAATACAGCGTCACGATTAGGGCTACCGACGCCAAAGGCCTGAGCTCCCAAGGCATCGTAGAGCTGTCTGTAGCCCCCGGGCCTAATACAAGGCCGCCGCAGTTCTCTTCGAGGGACTACTACGCTCCCGTGTCGGAAGGCGCTGCCATCAATTCTACGGTTACTACTGTTACTGTGAGTAAAGATTATTTCTAAATGTAAAGTATAACACAATGTTAAGACTAGGGCTACAGATGCCAAAGGCCTGAGCTCCCAAGGCATCGTAGAGCTGTCTGTAGCCCCCGGCCCTAATACAAGGCCGCCGCAATTCTCTTCGAGGGACTACTACGCGCCAGTATCGGAAGGCGCTGCGATCAATTCTACGGTTACCACTGTTACTGTGAGTGAAGATTATAAATCTAAAATATAGCACAATGTTAAGACTAGGGCTACCGACACCAAAGGCCTGAGCTCCCAAGGCATCGTAGAGCTGTCAGTAGCCCCCGGCCCTAATACAAGGCCGCCGCAGTTCTCTTCGAGGGACTACTACGCGCCCGTGTCGGAAGGCGGTTACCACTGTTACTGTGAGTAAAGCCTATTTTAAATATAAAATATAGCACAATGTTAAGACTAGGGCTGCCGACGCCAAAGGGCTGAGTTCCGAAGGGATCGTAGAGCTGTCTGTAGCCCCCGGGCCCCGGGCCTAATAAAAGGCCGCCGCAGTTCTCTTCGAGGGACTACTACGCGCCCGTGTCGGAAGGTGCGATCAATTCTACGGTTACCACTGTTACTGTGAGTAAAGATTAAATTGAATCTAAAATGTAGCACAATGTTAAGACGGGCTGCCGTCTCCAAAGGTCAGCTCTCAAGCCTTCAGAGTTTCTAGTGACTTCGGTAAAAAAAAAAAAAAAAAATATTCGGAACAAGAAAAAATGTACATTGAAAAGCGTGTACGATTAATAGCCGCGATAGTGTAAGAAAAACTGTGGCGCGTCTACTAACGCCCACTTCTGTAAAAATATTCTATAAGGCCATACATTTTATCACGGTGCACATCATAGCCCGGCTAGTTCTAAAATATAGCATTGTTTTAAACATATAAGGTCGCCCAGGCCCAAGAAACAAACTAAATATCAGTAACTAATACATGTAACCTAGGTACCAAAAGCGTTTTTTTTTAACTGTCAATTCATAAGTATAAACTAATATCATCGTCTCGTTTCAGGCCAAAGACCCAGAAAACGAGCCCGTCACGTATTCGATAGTATCCGGCAACGACCTCCGTCAGTTTGCGATCGGCGCTACCACCGGCATCATCATGGTCATCAGAAGCCTGGACAGAGAAGTGCTGACGCGGTATCAGTTGGTTAGTTGTCTTTAAATAAAATATGTTGCCATCATAAAGTAACCTTATTTACTTATCATAAGATTGCAAAGCAATGATTTTTAAAAACATGCTGTGCCCAGTGTTAATCGTTCGTTCGTTTTAATCAAAGGATGTCTACTTCACTGCGATCAGTCCTGCGCTATCCGCATACAAGTACTACCCGTGACCTAAATGAACATAAATATATCAAAATAAATAAAGCAATAGCCGTAGACCAGTCACCAAATCATTTGGCAGAAATTGAGTAAAATTCAATAAAATACATAACTTTTTTTTGTGCCCAATCGGGAATTTGTATCTCAGATTCAGGACGAAGTCTAACTAGTATTTTCTTTTTTAGTATGCTATAAACATGACTTTTCCTTTTTACAGATGGTGAAAGCAGAAGACCCCGGCAAATTAGCGAGCACAGCAACTGTAAACATCAAAGTCACTGACATCAACGACAACAATCCCAAGTTCGACGAGGATTCTTACCTGTTCCATGTAAAAGAAGGTATGGAAAAGTTAAAAGTCACCCAAAATCTAAGATTTTAAACTTTCGCGTTCCATTTCAACTAAAATAAAAAGTCTTTCTAAATCTTGGGTAAAAACCCAAAATCTACCTTTGCTTTCTTCTTGTCCCTGTCTATCTTATGTAGATTGATTTATAAAGATAAGGTTTTATGCAAGAGTTGATTCAAGCAATTTGGTTATTCTATTATAGTGTTGTATAAGTATTATAATATGCGAATATCGGGCCTTCCCACACCGACTGGTTAGTCCGTATTCCAGTCCGGGAGTGTGAGGAAAATTCTCCCTTTTAACCCTGATAAATTACAGAGGGACGTCTTCCTGCAGGGGAGACTGACGATGACGCCTATAGAGTTAAATTAAACATAACTTTGTTAAGTTTGTAAAGTGTTAACATTATTTTGGTTATTTACAGGTGTGTCAGGCGAATTCGTCGGCTACGTTCACGCCACAGACATAGATGAAGGAGTCAACGCTTTAGTCAGCTATAGCATTCCACCACATCTGCCGTTCAGCATCGATAATGCCACTGGATTGATCAGTACCAACACCAAACTGGACTATGAGCAGACTAAGGTAATAGTGAAACACTTTGTCCGTTCGTTTCAGCCAAATGACGTCCACTGTTGGACAAAGGCTTCCCCCAAGAATTTCGATAACGACTGGTCCTTTGCTGCCCGTATCCAGGTACCTTCACCTTATCGTCGGTTCACCTAGTGGGGGCCTGACCAAATTTAGTCTTCCGGCCTTCTTCCTATCTACCTGGAAACACTTCATTGTAGCCTTATAAAAATCGAGTAGTAAGTAAAGGCCGAGTTGCACCACGTTACTTAACGGTAACTATAACAATATCCGGTGTTTTTTGTATGGAGTTTGACAGATTTTTGACGTTTGTCAAAGTTAAAGTAAGATGGTGCAACCCAGCCTAAGTAAGCAATCTGTAAAAAATGGGTAACTGACCTCTTTTCCACACCAAATTATGCAAAGAAAAACACTACGATTCACATTCAAACACAGTCTATTAGTTTCATTGAACTGTTAAACTAAATTTTGAGTTGCTTATAAATAAATTAATTCTTTCTCGATGACAGGATTACGCGTTCGTAGTAACAGCTACCGACGGGGCCATTGACAAGAGGTTCGGGACAGCATCGGTGACTGTGCAAGTTGAAGATATACCCGACGAAGTGCCTGTGTTTCCGCAATCTTTGTACTCGGTTCACGTTCCCGAAAATGCGGCCAACTATCCTGTGGTTAAAGTTCACGTGAGTACTTGAGTTATGTTAGCTCTTTTCTTATCTTTTAGCAGATAGATCAAGAATCATGTGCGAACAAAAATACATTTTCGATATTGAATACTACTAATATTGAATGAATACGTTAATGCATCGTAAGTTCACTTTAAATTATTTTTGAATCTGTAAAAGTTATATCGTGACCTATGTCTTGATTTGGTAGTAAATAATGGCAATGAGCAAAGCAAGCAAATGCAATGTTGCTCAATTTCATTGAAAAATATCAATTTTAAGATTGTTTTAAGCGCAACTATCGTATTTGCGCTCACCAGTTGGCACCACAGGCGGCTAAGATCCTGTCACTGTCGACTATGGCAGTGGCGCCAACTGTATTGCAAATATGATATCTTTTATTAATACAATTTCTATAAATTATTCCAGGCGGAAGACCCCGATACCACTCCCGAGATAACCTACACGATAGTGATGGGTGATACGGATTTATTCTCCATCGAGCGCAAATCAGGCATGATCCGGACGCTGCGGCCTTTAGACCGAGAGATGATGGCGCGACACGAGATTATAGTCGGCACTGAGGAGAATAGCAGCGAGGAACCCAGGGCCACTACTACCGTGGAAGTTTTGGTTGATGTGAGTATTACTTTAGACCTTATTCCTCACTGTTAGAGCATACTTTAGTGATGGGAGACAAAGATCTATTCTCCATCGAGCGCAAATCAGGCATGATCCGGACGCTGCGGCCTTTAGACCCGACACGAGATTATTGTCGGTACTGAAGAGAATAACAGCGAGGAACCCAGGGCTACTACTACTGTGGAAGTGTTGGTTGATGTGAGTATTACTTTAGACCTCCTCACTGTTAAAGCACACTAGAGATGGGAGACAGACTTGTCATCTATCGAGCGCAGGTCTTTATACTGAGAGATGATGGCGCGACACGAGATTATAGTCGGCACTGAGGAGAATAACAGCGAAGAACCCAGAGCTACTACTACTGTGGAAGTGTTGGTCGATGTGAGTATTACTTTAGACCTTATTCCCTTCTCTTAACGTACACTTTGGTGATGGGAGACAGACTTGTCATCTATTGAGCGCAAATCAGGCATGATTCGGACGCTGCGGCCTTTAGACCGAGAGATGATGGCGCGACACGAGATCATAGTCGGCACTGAGGAGAATAACAGCGAGGAACCCAGGGCTACTACTACCGTGGAAGTGTTGGTTGATGTGAGTATTACTTTAGACCTTATTCCCTTCTCTTAACGTACACTTTGGTGATGGGAGACAGACTTGTCATCTATTGAGCGCAAATCAGGCATGATCCGGACGCTGCGGCCTTTAGACCGGGAGATGATGGCGCGACACGAGATCATAGTCGGCACTGAGGAGAATAACAGCGAGGAACCCAGGGCTACTACTACCGTGGAAGTGTTGGTTGATGTGAGTATTACTTTAGACCTTATTCCCTTCTCTTAACGTACACTTTGGTGATGGGAGACAGACTTGTCATCTATTGAGCGCAAATCAGGCATGATCCGGACGCTGCGGCCTTTAGACCCGACACGAGATTATTGTCGGTACTGAGGAGAATAACAGCGAAGAACCCAGGGCTACTACTACTGTGGAAGTGTTGGTTGATGTGAGTATTACTTTAGACCTTATTCCTTACTGTTAAAGCACACTTTAGTGATGGGAGACAAAGATCTATTCTCCATCGAGCGCAAATCAGGCATGATCCGGACGCTGCGGCCTTTAGACCCGACACGAGATTATTGTCGGTACTGAAGAGAATAACAGCGAGGAACCCAGAGCCACTATTACCGTGGAAGTTTTGGTTGATGTGAGTATTACTTTAGACCTTATTCCTTACTGCTAAAGCACACTTTAGTGATGGGAGACAGACTTGCCATCTATCGAGCGCAGGCCTTTAGACCGAGAGATGATGGCGCGACACGACATCATAGTCGGCACTGAGGAGAATAACAGAGAGGAACCTAGATCTACTACTACTGTGTAAGTGTTGGTTGATGTGAGTATTACTTTAGACCTTATTCCTCACTGTTAAAGCACACTTTAGAGATGGGAGACATACTTGTCATCTATCGAGCGCAGGCCTTTAGACCGAGAGATGATGGTGCGACACGAGATTATAGTCGGCACTGAGGAGAATAACAGCGAAGAACCCAGAGCTACTACTACTGTGGAAGTGTTGGTTGATGTGAGTATTACTTTAGACCTTATTCCTTACTGTTAAAGCACACTTTAGAGATGGGAGACAGACTTGTCATCTATCGAGCGCAGGTCTTTAGACCGGGAGATGATGGCGCGACACGAGATCATAGTCGGCACTGAGGAGAATAACAGCGAGGAACCCAGGGCTACTACTACCGTGGAAGTGTTGGTTGATGTGAGCATTACTTTAGACCTTATTCCCTTCTCTTAACGTACACTTTGGTGATGGGAGACAGACTTGTCATCTATTGAGCGCAAATCAGGCATGATCCGGACGCTGCGGCCTTTAGACCGGGAGATGATGGCGCGACACGAGATTATTGTCGGTACTGAGGAGAATAACAGCGAGGAACCCAGGGCTACTACTACCGTGGAAGTGTTGGTTGATGTGAGTCATAGTATAAGTATTCGCGTTTAGTCTTTACTGTACATTTTGCACGTACATAACAATGTGGTGAAGGAAAATTTTCTCAGTCGATGGCGGTCGTTATACAGTTAGATGAACTTATAAGCGAGACTAATCCCACCACTCTTTCCCACTACTGCAACTCCTGTATAGGATCTAAGAATTTATTGATCAACTTATAGTCGGCATTGGCTACCTAATGTTAAGCTTTAAGATTCTTCATTTCATTGAGACTCGATAAGTTAAGTAATTTTAAACTTATACGACCATCTTTTGTGCTTTACAGGATCTGTCATATTCATACCCACTTTTAGATAAACTTTATCGAAAGGTTGACAGTTCTTTTTACCTTTTTCATGCAACAGGGTTTTAAATAAAAAATCATTTTTCCAAATTGCAGGACAAGAACGACAACGCGCCAATCTTCACATCGGTCGTCCGTCCGATCACGATAGAAGACTCCTCACCCATTGGCAGCCTAGTTCAAACAGTGACCGCTGTGGATGCCGACGCGACCGCGCCTAACAACCGCGTGCGATACAAGCTGGTTGGTCGCGGGAAGGCGTCTAAGTACTTCCACGTGGAGCCCGATACGGGAGCGGTGCGGGTCCGAGACGATCTGCGGAAGGAGGCCGATAGCGAATACACTGTGAGTAGTCACTACCAACTATAGTCTGGTCTGCGAGCACGTAGAATTTTGTCCAATGACCCCAAGCTACCCATCCTTATCGATCGCGCGTAATTACGTTGCTATCGCGGTCGCACAGTCACTGCGGGCGCCCGTCGCACAGTCGCGACAGCAATATAATTACGCGCGAGCGATAAGGATGGGTAGCTTGGGGTCATTGAACGAAATTCTACGTGCTCAGCGACCAGACGCGACCGCGCCTAACAACCGCGTGCGATACAAGCTGGTTGGTCGCGGGAAGGCGTCTAAATACTTCCACGTGGAGCCCGATACGGGAGCGGTGCGGGTGCGAGACGATCTGCGGAAGGAGGCCGATAGCGAATACACTGTGAGTGTCCTATTGATAGTCCAGTGGGTCTAGACCAAGTGCAAATTATAATCACAAACCAGTCGCAAAGTAGTCGAAAAGCCCCTTTTTTGTATGGAGTTTTGACGTATTCGATTTTCGATTCGATCAAAAAGTGCGTTTTGTCTAGGGGGGCAGAGTTTTGTAGTCACCTACGTATGTAAGGTCTACAACTTCTTCGTGAGGTCTGTGTGGCTAGTACACATAGGTTTTTTACTCTATGCGCGAATGAGTCTGACAGCTAATATACTGTAAGTTTTACAGATTCCATTGGATGTCCATTTATAGCCTACTGTAGTATCTTCTGGATGGTTCGTAGTTCTATCAGCCACTACCACTTCATCCTGACATCAGTCTGTGTGTCTGGTATTGGTTGAAATAGTCCATACAGTGCAGCACTAACAACGTAGATTATACATAATCTTATCGTTAAAGTGTGACAGACAAAATGTGCACGTGACTTTTTACTTCTACAAGTATAACAAAAAAAAGTCACATGCACAATTTAATTCATTAACGCATCTTAAGAGTTGTTGGATATGATATAACATAGTCTCAATGGTCCAGTTTAGATTTCCCAATCTTAAAGGAGCTTTATTGTTTGCAGGTCGACGTGCAAGGGTTCGACCAAGGCGAGCCCGTGATGTCTTCAGTCACCAGCCTGACTGTGTACGTCAGTCACTCCGCCACTGTTCCTCCAGATGTAAGTATCTGTAAATACTTTATAGATATAAAACATTCTTATTAAACAACATAATAATCTCTAATTCATTATCTCATGTCTTATAAACTCTAACAGTTTTAGAATAATCTTTATAGATCGGTTCATACACGAAGACGCGCCCCACCAAATTTTGGTCGAGGGAAGCGCGGTGCGGGGAGTTTGATCCGAGCAATAGTGTCATTATTGTCGTGTGTTCGTTCGTTCGTTCGTTTCAGCCGAAAGACGTCCACTGCGGACAAAGGCCTCCCCCATGGTTTTCCATAAAGACCGGTCCTGGGTCGTGTATACTCATGGATAATTTAGCGTGTACCGATAACACTCAAACATTAGCGGAAGAATGGTGGGGCGCGTCTTTGTGGATGAAACGATCTATACATTACATTACATATTTTAAACCATTACGTGTTGTATTTTTTAAATTTTACATTTATCATTTATTTTAGTTATAAGTTCTGTGATCATATTTTGTTTCTTACTAATTTCGGCTATGTCAACCACTCATACTCAACTTCGATGTTGTAAGTACTCAAGGTTTCAATGGTTATAATATAACTACTTGTACATAATCATCTTAACTTTCCCGTTAACATCAGCTATATTAGCCGGGACACTGTAAATATAACTTTAAAACCTCCGGCTTAAGGCTTATTTTACACTCTCGCAAAATCAGTTACTATTCCAGGTGGGCCTCGGGTTCGCTGACACGCTGTACACTGAACACGTCGCTGAGAACTCGCCCAACGGGACGCTGGTACGAGTGCTGCCTTTGCTGAACAAGAGAGAACATTCGCCGGACATACCTTTGAAGTGCCGCCTCACGGAGTCATCGCAATCAGGTACTTTATTTGAGTTACAGTTTGTTTTTGCGTGATCGGTTAGAGGCTCTTTTTCGGTGTCATTTTTCATTAATTTAGATTATTTATGCTTAGTATGGAGTACTGATTTGTACGTGATTTCTAAATTTCGAAATCCAAGCAAAAATTAGCAAGTTTTATAAGAAATAGCGGCTACCCGCCTAGTTTAGGTATTTAACATAAAATTTGGATTCTTGTGGTGAAAGATTTTTTCATATTCTCCAATCCTCAATTTCAAGTACTCCAGTAGTTTTGGACCTAGCTATTCAAANGAAGTTTTGATATCTTCGAACTAGAAGATACCATTTCCGAAATAAGAGCGAATTTAGAAAATAAATATTATGACGCTTTTAAATAAAACTTCATAAATGTCTACTTTATACGAAAAGCCGACACCAATTTGATTTTATTTATTTATTTATTCATTATTATTGTTTCGAAAAACTACAAATGGCGGACTTAATTTCATAGGGCAGTCTGTAAACCAGTTGATCTTATGATAATGTAGATAGGATAGAATTATTAAGGACAAACGAAAACTAAACTATAATTATTCTAAATTCTAAATAGATTAAACATTATTATTCATAGTAGCTTGAAATTATGTCATTGTACCTACTTGGTACAAAAGTAGAAAGGTTAGGTAAGTAAGATTACAAGAAAAAATTTTTCATTCCAGTAAAGTACATCCACTTACTTTACTCCTACGTAATACCGTTTTTAAAAGCCAATTATTATGTTTAATATAAAAATATAACTTTGAAAAAAGTGCATTCACGCTTTTTAGTAGATTATGTCTCAACTGACACTATATTTTCCCATGTTGGTTTCAAAAGTTTTTCCTACTAGTTATATTTTATTAGCTGATCCAAATAACTTTAGAAACTACACTTATTTATTATAATTATTACAGTCAAAACTCAAAAGTGGTTTTGACCAAGAGCGTTAGTCAAAATTACTAGGAAATCATTAAAAACAATTGCAAAGTGTAGCATTTGTGTGATATTTTGTGCATACAAAATAATGACACCTTAAGGTACATACAGTAAGGTGTCTTTTTTTTCATAACAACTCTAACTTTTTCATTTTTAATACGTTATTTATTTTATAGCATGTTTTCATTTTCTTAAATCATTTTTTAAAATTATCTTTTACCTGACAAATACCTAGTTTCTTCAAATATGAGAAATAATAAAGAGCAACATTACTTTACCCAATGTGGGTAGATGTCATCATACATATACAAATCACATAAATGTTACACTCTAAAATAGTTTTATTACATATTTTTGATGACTTTTTTAGTTCTTTCGTTTGTTCCAAACGCACATACTTAAATACAATAAGAAACGTCTATAAATTTTACCTTTTCAGTTATTTTAATGTTAGGTAATTTGGGGCCGCAGATTACGAATCTGCTATAATTTTCCAGATTTTCCGCCACCATCTTGGAAAATTCATATACCAACAATTGTTTCAAACTGGGCCCTTCACTTCCTACGTACAATTGTGAGGGTCAAAATTGTAAGGGTTTTGGATATTTTATCAATGGCATGTATTCCGAAAAACGTATTTATAACCAGTAAGGAATAAACAGGTTTAATTTTTATACCAGTATTTGCCATTTAATATTGATTTGTGGGCAAAACCATCTGTTCCATGAGCTCACCAGTAAATATAGCGCTCGAAATATTCCTATGGAGTTTTAATATCTTCTGGAACATCAACAGCATCTCCTGGAAGATGTTGACGATTGAAGGGCTTCGTCTGCTATGCCGCTTGCATACTCAGAGGTATGTATCGTAATGAATGTCTGAGCCTTCATCAGAAGAAGAGGAGTAGTTCATCTGAAGTAGTCGAAACTAGCTTTTGTCGTTGTCATCGCTCTCATCCCCAGATGTATTGAGCATCTCTGCGATAGTAGCGTCGTTTGAAATCGGAAACATGGTGCGGAGACCATGAAAAATTAATATTTACGAGAAACTTGAAATACGCTTAAGGTATTGTAGGGCCCACGTCGATACAATTGTGTCAGTAAAGTTTGTTAAGCCGTTACGCCAAAGCCTTTGCTTACAAGTAGTTACTGTTATCACAAAAAGATGCTATTTTTAACTATTTGTCTAATCAATAACTTTAAAATTACTATAATTACAAAATAAAACCATAGTAGGTACTTTCTTTCGCCAAGTCGGGGAGCGCAATCAGTCATGAACTGTACAGGTTGTAACCTGCTCACCAACTGCGCTTCGAACAAAATTTGCACGGGAGGTGAAAGAACGCATCCCGCACAATCGTACGATTTCAGCCCATCCATTTCCGATGTAAAACTAATGAGATAATCTCGATTTTGTAACCCGCACAATTGTATTGGAGCGGTCCGAAAGGGCTATTAATACCTTCTCTAGAAGACCACTTGAACATGATTTAAAAGATGAGATTGCCAGATTCTTTCACTTTTAATTATTATACGTCACTAGCTTTACGTCACTAAAAATAAAGACAATTTGTAAGATTACTGAAGTAGGTACCTACTAAGACACAAGTAATATTATCTTATTTCGTTCGTTTCAGCCAAATGATGTTCATTGCTGGACAAAGGCCTCCTCCAAGGATTTCCATAACGATCGGTCCTGCGCTGCCCACATTAGCTTGTTTAGGAGCGCCTTTTTAGGATTCCGTAGTCCTGACAAGGAACCCTTATAGTTTCGATATGTCTGTCTGTCTGAGGTTTTGCTTGGAAACTATTAGCACTAGAGAGCTGTAATTTTGTGGAGGTAAAAATTTACCTAACGTAATTTTTTTTAGGGTAGCTCCCCTACATGTATAGTGGGGATGATTATTTTTTTCTTCTTCTACCCCATCGTGTGGGGTATCGTTGGATAGGTCTTTTAAAATGACTTTCTAAGACCATTTTTCGATTTAGGGATCCGTTTTCAAAATGTTAAAGTTTAAAATGCCAATTTTTGTTCGAGTAGGGCGTCCCCCCTTCTAAAAACTAAACTGTTGGCTTTAAAAATCTGAAAAAATTCATAGTAATAGTGCTTTTTCTGAAATATATTGTGGTAACGAAGGACAACTACGGAACCCTACATTGCGCGTGGCACGACACGCACTTGGCCGGTTTTTTATTCACTTCAAAACTGATAGGTTAGGGCCATACCTAAATATACAGGGTGTTAGGTTAATGGGTATATGAGCCGACACTAGCCCATGTTAACATGGGCATATAAATGGTATGGTGAAGTCAGAAAATTGATATCTTCATTTTAATTATTTTAATTTTCATATAAATCGGATTTTATAAAATTTATTTTGTATGAAAATTTAAATAATTAAAATGATGATATCAAATTTCTGACTTCACCA